GAAAAGATTGGTACAAAGAAGGAAGATGTTTTTTCAATACCAAATTGCCTTCTTGTTAATATCTGGGCTCCTCAGGTAAGTTAAAATAATGCAACTACCAAAGCAATAGGAGAATACTGGGAATTTTATTGATTTCATGGAGGCCACTACATTATAGGAACCACCTCCAAAATGGATATGCTGTAAAGAAGGCCTAAAATTGAAAAAGAGAGAGAGAGGCAGAGAGAAATAGAGATGGAGAGAGCAAGAGCTAAAGCAAGAGAAAGAAAAGCAAGAGAGTGAGAAGGAAAACCTTCCCACAAACCATTTTACAGCCCACCCCTGGCTCCTGTAACCTGTCCGTGCAGCTCTATAACTGCCTGCAGCACATCACAGAGCATTGAATGAACTTTATCAAGAGAGAAGCATAATAAGCTTGCAATGCAACCTTTACCCTTCCCTCGGTTATGTTTGTTTGAAAAGCCTCTTCTCTCTTCCTCTTACATCTGTGATGCTCTGATAAAAATACTTAAGGATTTCAGCTTTTCTAAATTTCTTGGCATTTGGTTTCCCCACACTACAGAGATACAACGTATCAATTGGGGAAAAAGCAAAACACTCTAAAACAATGTTTGTCATCACTGTGAGGCTTTATTGAATAAATAAGAACATACTAAATACAGAGCTGTCACTTTATTTAATCCTAGAGCTACAACTCCACACTCCAGTGCTCAAATGGAGTTTGGTATGGTCCCCTGACTCAAACTGAAACCACTATAACATAAGAAAAGGAAGAAACAAGGGGCATATCCGTCAGAAATAACCACATGAACGGTCAGGGACCACAGCTGTGACTCTGCAATCTTTTCTAAACTATCACTCACCCTACAAGAGTAGCACCTCAGCCTCTGCTGTTGGAGACTTGGCTGTACGTTGTAATCACTAAGGAGCTTTAAAAATAATGACGCCTGAGTCTCACCACCAGATAATCCAATGTAATTATCTGGTTATGGCCTAGGCAACTGGATTTTTGAAAGCTCTCCAGGTGGTTCCCATATTCATATCAAAGTTGAGAACTGCTAGCCTAGAGAGTCCCTTATATGATTCTATGCCTTTGGTGAATGCCACTAGGATGTGAAGTTGCATCTAGGGGCATGTGTGACTATAGAAGAGATGAAAGTCAGAGGAGAACTTTGACAATTGTATTCATGCGAAGGCTGAATAGGATTTCTATGTGCAAGCCATTCTCCTAAGCACATAGGACAAAATTAAAAAGTAGGGTGATTGCCAGTGGACCCGCAATGGTAGATAACACTGAACATATGGCATCCTGGAATGGCTTTCCCATAAGAAAAAATCACACATCCCTACACCCTCCCACTTGCACCATGGGTATAAATGCAGGATGTAAGTTTCTGTTGCATGTGGCAATAGAATACAGTGGTTAGAAGCATAGAGCTGAGGGCCGGGCGCGGTGGCTCTCACCTGTAATCCCAGCACTTTGGGAAGCTGAGGCAGGTGGATCATGAGGTCAGGAGTTTGAGACCAGCCTGGCCAAGATGGTGAAACCCCGTCTCTACTAAAAAAAAATACAAAATTAACCGGGTGCATTGGCAGGCACCTGTAATCCCAGCTACTCAGGAGGCTAAGGCAGGAGAATCACTTGAATCCAGGAGGTGGAAGTTGCAGTGAGCTGAGATCGTTCCACTGTACTCCAGCCTGGGTGACAGAGTGAGACTCCATCTCAAAAAAAAAAAAAAAAAAAAAACATAGAGCTGAGTAGCCAGACTGCCAAGGTTCAAATTCTACCTCTGAACAAGTCAATTCACCTCTCCAAACCTGTTTTCTCATCTGTAAAATGAGGACTATAAAATATTACATACCTCATAGAATTGTCATTAAGCAAGTAAATATATTTAAACGACTTAGAAGAGTACTTGGCACATGGTAAGAGCTCAGTAAGTATAAGATGTTTTGGTTTTATTTTGTTTGTTTGAAGGCTATGTGTGGTCTTCCCTGTGTGATTAAGCGATTATCATCCTGGGGACAGTGATGAAACTTTGTGAGGTCTATTAACTGTGTATAAAGGACATAGGACAAAGGGGTCCACACTGAATGAGTCCTGAAAGAATGTACCAGAGGAAGGCCAAGGGGATGACCTGAGTACAGACACACTAGATGCTTCCTTAAAGGTGACCACCTGCCCACAAGCTTAGTGGGAGGCAGGGATGTCCCCGAGATAAGACATCTGAGCTGTCAGGAAAACACTAAAATGCTGGCTCTACAAGCACATAGTATAAAAGGGCTTGTGATCTTGCACATTCCTGAGTGCTAACCTCAGAGAATCTACTCTAGGAGGACTGGGATCAACGAATCCATACTCAAACACCCAGATGACAAGGATTACTGTAATCAGCAGACTATAAGTTATCACTGGGCCAGGCAACCCAGGAAATTTGAGCTAGGAGTCTCCATTTTGTGAAGGAAAAGGCTAACAAGCCCACTTAACCTACATTCCAGTACAGAAGAAATGAAAAGATGCATAGATGAAATAGAGACAGGGAGCTGAAAATAAGGAATCCAGGCAAGTTATGACAACCCATCTGAGACTACCAGGCAGTTGTCCTAGGATAAAACTACCTAGAAATCAAAGCAGTGCTTCTCTTTTCCCTGGGATTCTAGTGATCAGAAATCTATATTTTGGAAAATTTTTCTAGGTGGTGATAGTGGCGGTGATGTTTAATCATCTAGAGTCATTTGCTTTCTTTGTCAATGTTTGCTTCCCTGGGGCACATCAAATAGTGAAAGCATGGGGAGAATATAGCAGATTTAACGTTCTACTGATTTTGTAGGCCGAGACTCCAAATCCATTTCCATTAAATCCCAGCCTCACTTTTGAGGCAGCCTGTAGTCCCTCCTCCAGGGCCTGGATAGACCAGTTCTCACCACAGGGATGGCTTCTCCTCCACTCACCTGGCCTTACATGCAGCCCATTCTTAACCATGCTCCCATGACTACCTCTTGTTGGAGAGTGTGCAAGGCCTATTGCCTGGCCAATGAGCTCATATTTAGTTCTGACACAGGGAGATTTTAGGGTTCTATGTTGCATTCCACACTAAGGCGCTTACATTAGGATCAGGCCTGGCCCTAATGCTTATAGCAACATGGCTATTTTCAGTTCCAAAAAGAAAGTGTTCTATCAAGTAGCAGCCTCCATTATCTCTGATTCATACTGTTGGTCTGCTTTCTCTTATTTGGCCCATAAGTGCACTACAATATCTCTTCAGGCACTGGGCCACCACCCCTCTTTCACCTCGTTTCTATTATAGATTTTATAGACCATTTGGCCTTATGTCTCTAACTCATTCCTTGAGGCCTGGTTCTATTTCTGGAAAAATTGGATGCATAGTTCCTACTCTAACAGAAAACCAGTGCTGATGACATGGCTTTATTAGTATCAGCTAGAAGTGGCCATGGTGGATGCTTGATCTGACTCTCCGTTTAACACACAAGAAAAGCATTGCTTAGAACCAACATGCCCACATCAGAATCATCTTTTTTGGCAGATGTCACCTAACATTTAATTGGATTACATCTGATAGCTCTATATGGTATGACAATTCACCATTACCTGGAAATACATTTTCAACAAGATTACATTGAAGTATCCACCAGCAGGCTAAATTGCTTAAATTTAAACATCCTACAAATGCTTTGTTAATATTTTTTTAATGTTCTCTGAATGCAAATACCAGCTGTTAAAATTTTCCTGGCTCAAATTATTAAGCCAGAGACTATCCACTAGACTACATATAATAAGATACAAGTAACTGAATTCTGAAGAAAATATTAGCTCAACCCACATCTCTGGGGAGTTGGGATGGCCTTCTATAATTAAGACATATCTGGATTATTTAACTAGAAAAGAGTGTCAGTCCTCTCTTCTGCTTAGCTGAATGTGACGATGGATGGATCTGCCTGAATTGGACAACAGATAACATGTGCACTCTCCCTTTTATCTGAGAATGTATCCTGAACTTCTGTGCTTACAAATGGTCATCAAAAGTCAATTAGAGAAGTCAATCTTCATAAATAATGGTTTCAAAGATTTGTTGTTCATCTTTCTAACATTCTCAACTTAATTCTTAGTCAATGAGAAACTTCAACTACTGAAAACCAAGAAGAATTCTACCAAGTTGTATTTTTACGGCATATAATGAGCCTATGTTTATGGATATAATACAAAATGGCTTAATAATAACAAGAGCAGAAAACTGCTAAAATAGTTTACCGTGTGCCAGGCACTGTACTAAGTGCTTTGCTTGCATGATTTTCTTTGATTCTTATAGCAACCCTTTGAGCTAATTACTATTTCTCCTGTTTTGTAGGTAAGAAAACTGAGACATAAAGGAGATTATATTATCTAGGGTCATATAGCTAGAAAGTTGTAAAGCCAGGATATGGCCTAGGCAGTCTGATTCCAGAACCTCTGTGCCTAACTAGCTTACCATACGCCTTCCCTAGATAGCCATTTAATATGCAGGAAGCCCCATAATTCATTCCTGGCTGTGGTTTCGAGGGAGGAACTTCTGCTGATCACTTAGTACTGAAGACCACGTTGAAGGACACTTTTGGAGGAAGCCAGCAGCTGTCATCTTTGAGGGGTCTGTTTGTACAGAGAACCTGAACAAGCCAGGGCAAGTGCATTCCAGTCACTGAACCTGGCAGCAGATTCATGGATCGCAATGATCTTTAGCTTTTGTTCCTCAAACTGGAATAATGACAGAATGAGAGTATTAAAACCCCCACAACTGGCACTATGTGAATGGCCAGCTATCTCAAAAGAGGGAATGTGCTTGTCAGAGGCAATCCCTGCAGGGGGCTCTCAGACAGGTTAGAGTGCCATGGATCTGTTCCGTAATAGGCAGTGTAAACTTACACAGACTTGGTTTCAAAGGTCATCAGAGAATTTAGTCACAACTGCTAAAGCAACCATCAGAATACAGCTTGGACTCACTCAAGTAAGCAGGGGCTTTATTGGCTTATGGACCTAGGCAGTCCAGGTGTGGATGTGGTTCCGGACAGGCTGATTCAGAGGCTCTATGTGGCCAAGGCTCCATCACGTATCAATCCCTGGGCTCCTCCATTCCCAGTTTGGCTTCTGTCCCCACAACCTCTCTCCATGTGGCAAACAAAATGGCTACTGGTGGTTCCAGGCTCACGTCCTCTCAGCTTGGAAATCCAGCAGCAAGAAGATGTCTCACTCTCAAAGTCCATAACTGAATCCTTGGGAAGACTATAATTGGTCCTACTAGGAACATTTAATATCCAAAAACAACCTCCAGATGGGGAGCTGGGGAGATGGGAGACGGGCTACTCTGACAGGATGCCCTGTGTCTCACGTCCACTGTTGCATCCTGGGTATATTGAGAATTTTGGGCATGAAGAAGGAATTCAAAGCCCCACAAGGTTCATGTGGAAAGGGGGGAGCTCCCAGAAGAACCATAAAATTAAGAAAGCACTGCAACACAAGCAAAAACCATTTTTATGCATGTTCTTGGCAGTTACAACATAGTATACCTCATGCTTCATTTTGCTCTGGAAAAAAGGCAGACCTTCTCTGCTAGGGCAATTCTAATGGCTTCTCCAGCGTGCTTTGAGAACGTGGAGGAGCTGTGCAGTGTTGCTGGACTTCCCATTTCAGGAGACCTGGGCCCAGCAATTCCATGGCATGATCATGAGCTCTCTGGACCCAATCTGGAGACCTGGCCAATGTCCTGATTCTGAGACTGAAGAGCCCTGTGAATGTGGGCAATGCCCTCCTGCTTTCTGGAGGTCCTGGGCAGGAAATTAAATAGAAGACCAGTACTTCCTTCTCAGCTCAGAGATGTCCTTGCCTTGTGACTTTAAAAACAAAAAATCATTTCTCCTTCTAGGTTTCAGTTTTCTCATCTATGTGAGGGTAAGAAATTGACTCCAATCTGTCCGACTTAAAAAGAAATAAAAATGAAAACAAAACACCTGAAATTCTGATTCTCCTGGACAAAGCTTCCCAGCATAGTTCACGAGGTCCCAGGCCAGACACTTTGCCTGTGTTCTCAGGTGCTGAGGAAGGCGCAGCAGGCCTGCAATGCATATAGGGGAACAAAGGCCCAGAGACAGAGATGTGGGGCCCATGTGGTGTAAAGAAACTGCGAGCCACCTTCAGGACCCACAGCCCAGCCTCACGGCCACAGCTGGGGCTTGGTGTACACTTCACCGTGCACTTCATACTTCAGTGCCCGCCAGTCCAGGACATTAGGACTGAAGGTCCCGCCAGCATAGACAGTGTTAATCTGATCTGGTGACAGCACAAAGTCCCACATGTTCACATTTCCAATGTCTCCCACCAAAGACTGATTCGTCTCAAAGCCCCCACCGAAGGAATCCTGGTCCTGCCCCAGGATAATGCTTGCCTCTGTCCCCACAGTGTATCCCTTCTTCAGACTCTTTCTCACCCTGGGCTTCCCATCCAACCAGAACTCCACGATCCCTGAGGCGGACTCCCAGCTTGTACAAATGTGCACTGGAGCTGTGACTTCGGGAGTCTCGAATAATACTTCAGGCCCACCCACTGTAAGAGTGTATCCTCTACCCTTAGACCAAAATATGAGAATGTCATTGGAGTGTTTCTTGGAGGCATAAGAGAAAATGCTGTACCCACGGGTCAAGGACAGTTCCGTGTAGACGTGGAGGCACACAGTGAAGGCTTTGAGAGGCTTCGTTGACTGTGCTTTGAGGGATACATAGGAATTATCCGACTCTTTGGGAAACACAAAAGCCTTCGTGGACATGTCTGTGAGACAGAAAAACAAGCAGATAGGAGAAGTTTCTCAGCTCACAAAGATCTATCCCCTCACTTACTTATAGAGTTTAGGATTGAGAAACTGACCCCTTCCCCAGTTACACACACACACTCACACACCACACACACACACACACACACACACACACACACACACATCATGATGAATCTTCCACTGTTTTGTTCACCCAACCCCATACCTCAGATCAAATCTCTCCCAAAGCCTGGGGTGGCCCATACCTGTCTGGCCAAAAGCATGAGAGAAACTGGTCAAGACCAGGAAGCACAACAGCTTCTCCATGGTCATGCCCTGCTGCCAGTGCTACAAGGATCTGAATTCACTCCTTTGGAAAAGATGTATTTGGCTGGAAGTTCAGGGGCTAGAAGTCCTAGATCTCTTGCCTCAGAGCTACCCTCTCCTGCCTGGATTTATATCCAAAGCAGTAAGGGAGTTTATGCCACTTTGTAAATGATTTTCTAACATTGCCTCTTGGGTCAAGTGTCAGGGCTCCAGGACGGAGGGAAGCAAAATCATTCCAGAACAGAGAAATCAATGTGAGTTATTTATTACAAACTCCAATGACTACTGAATTACCAATTATTTGTGACAGGAAAAATGAAGAAACTTCCCAGCGTTTCACTTTGGCTATCTACCCTGAGAAAATAATGAGAAATGGTAACATATTAAATGAGTGGCCAACTGGGTGCACATGGTAGCTGCCTCTCCAACACCTGCGTCAGCCCAAGTCATGGAATTTCACGAAGGAAAGCTGACAGCTTCTGGAGATGGCCCTGATCACTAAACCCTTTCGTAATCTGCTTGTTTACAGATTGGGAAATGAGAAAAACAAACATGCCTTTCCCTAAGCCATGGACATATTTTCTCAGCCAATTGAATATACTTATTTAATGAGTTCTCTAGATATTTTGACACTAAATGATGGTCCTGGCAGTAAAAGTCCAGTGAAACATTTGCCTGATCACAGGCATAGCATTATGTCAGAGTTTCTTCCAATAACATTTTTCTCTGAATATGTAAAGCAAGAGTCTGGATAAACTGATTCTACTATTCTGTTCACAAGATTCAAGTAATCCCTTCACGCCGGCTGACAATCTTACTACAGTTCCCTACTTAACTCACTCTTCCAAATGACTATTATGCTTCCTCTTCTTGCTCCTCAAGTCTCATTCATCCTTTCACTCAGCTGATGAACTCACCTTTTGTTGAGAAATTAAAAGCCATCAGAAAAGAACCACCATATCTTTTGTAGTAGAGGCTTCTAGTCACTCCCCAACATCCATTCTCTACTTTTCATAAGAATAACATTTTTACTTGGGAGCTTAGTCGTCCCCTCAAACACCAAATTTCCAGCCCCCACTGTAGCTTGTAGTGGTATGAGTAAATTATGGCCAATGAGATATGAACAGAATAGGGACTATCTCTAGGCTGTGCTCTTTAAGAAAGGTATGTGCTTCCCCCTCCCACTTCCCCCTTTTTACCTTTGGCTAGTATTCAGTCATGATAGCAGGAGATGGAACAGTTCACTTTCAGGTCAGCAAGTGTAAGCTGCATGTTGAGGTTGGCATGGCAACAAGATACATAGAGACTGGATAATTGAGTATGGAGCCACTGTATCAGCTCTAGACTGCCTACCTGAACATTTACTTAAAGGAGAAATATTCTCCTCTTTTGTAAAATCACTTTTAACTCAGTCTTTCTGTTCTTAACACCTAACTGATATCCTTATACATCCTCCTACAACCCAACGTACCAGTCTTTCCATCTTCCTCTATTAAAAGGGATGAGCTCTCCCCGCATTATATCTAAGGCCAACCCCTGCACTTCTTCAGAGGATCCCAGACCCTGTCAACCATTCAAGGAATTTTGCTCCTTATACGTATCCTCTCTATCTTCTGCATTATTAATGTATTCATCTTTACTTGATCATTTTTACAAAACCATACTATAATATATTTAATCTTTTAGAGAAAGAAGAAAGAAAAGAGAAAAAAGGAAGAATGGGAATGAGAGAAGGGAGGAAGAGAGGAAAAGCTTGTGTGTACTTACAACCTCTATTATCCTATCTCCTGTTCCCTCCTCAATCCATGGAAATTAGGCCTTGGCCTTCAGCAATCTAGTGAAAACAACATAAACAAACACATCTCTCACTAAGTTTAATAATGCATTTTCTGTTCTTACTTTACCCAGCTTCTCAGAAACATTTAACATAGTTTATAACTTCCTGCTGAATTCTTGTTCATAGCGTAAAAGTGAAATAATTTCAAGGCTTTATGACTAAAAGAAGTGGTCCTCTGTCCCACCACTCTCCATCTGATATGGTTTGGCTCCATGTGCCCACCCAAATGTCATCTTGAATTGCAGTCCCTACATGTCAAGGGAGGGACCTGGTGGGAGGTGATTAGATCATAGGGGTGGTTTCCCCCATGCTGTTTTCACGTTAATGAGTGGGGTCTCACAATATCTGATGGTTTAAATGCGTTTGGCCATTCCTCCCAACTCTCTGTCTCTCCTGTCACCTTGTGAAGAAGGTGCCTGCTTCCCCTTTGCTTCCTGCCATAATTGTAAGTTTCCTGAGGCCTCCCCAGCCATGCTGAACTGTGAGTCAATTAAACCTCTTTTGTTTATAAATTCCCCAGTCTCAGGTAGTTCTTTATAGCAGTGTAAAAACAGACTAATACAAAAAATTGGTACAAGGATAGTGACATACTGCTATAACGATTCCTAAAAATGTGGAAGCAACATTGGAACTGGTTATGCACAGAGGCTGGAACAGTTTGGAGGGCTCAGAAGAAAACAGGAAGATGTGTAAAAGCTTGGAACCTCCTGAGTTTTGTTGAATGGTTTTGACCAAAGTGCTGATAGTGATGTGGACAATGAAGTTCAGGCTGAAGTGTCCTCAGGTGGATATAAGGAACTTACTGCCAAGTGGAGTAAAGGTCATTCTTGCTATGCTTTAGCAGAGACTGGTGGCATTTTGCCCATACCCTAGAGATCTGTGGAACTTTGAACTTAAGAGACATGATTTATGGTATCTGGCAGGAGAAATTTCTAAGCAGTAAAGCATTCAAGAGGTGACCTGGCTTTATCTGAAAACATACAATCATATGTGTTCACAAACAGATGATCGGAAATTGGAACTCATATAATTAAATGAGAAACAGAGTAGAAAAGTTTGGGAAATGTGCAGCCTGACCATGCAGTAGAAAAGAAAAACTCATTTTCTAGAGAAAAATTCAAGCTGACTGCAGAAATTTGCATAAGTAATGAGGAGCTGAATGTTAGCCAAAACAATGGGGAAAATGTCTTCAGGTCATTTCAAAGATCTTCATGGCAGTTCCTCCCATCACAGACCCAAAAGCCTAGGAGGAAAATATGGTATCATGGTCCAGGCTCAGGGTCTCACTGCTTTCGGCACTAGGGACATGGCACCCTGCATCTCAGCTGCTCCAGCTCCAGCCATGGCTAAAAGGGGGTAATGTATAGCTCAGGCCATTGCTTCAGAGGGTGCAAGCCCAAAGTCTTGGTGGCTTCCAAGTGGTGTTGAGACTGCAGGTGCAGAGAAGACAAGAGTTGAGCTTTGGGAGCTTCTGCCTAGATTTCAGAAGATGTATGGAAATACCTAGATGTTCAGGCAGAAGTCTTCTGCAGGAATGGAGCCCTCATGGAAAACCTCTACTAGACGAATGCAACAGGGAAATGTGGGGTTGGAGCCCCCACACAGTTGGAGTCCCCACTGGGGCACTGCCTAGTGGAGCTGTGAGAAGAGGGCCACTGTCTTCCAGACCTCAGAATGGTAGATCTACTGACAGCTTGCACCTTATGTTTAGAAAAGCTGCAGGTGTTCAACACCAGCCTGTGAAATCAGCCACAGGGCCTGTACTTTGCAGAGCCACAGGGGTGGAGCTGCCCAAGACCATGGGGGCTTAACACTTGCATGAAAGTGGATGTCAGACATGGAATCAAAGGAGATTATTTTGGAGCTTTAAGATTTAATGAATGCCTTGCCAGATTTCAGACTTACATGGAGCCTGTGGCCCCTTTGTTTTGGCCAATTTCTCTCATTTGAAAAAGGAACAGTCAACCAATGGCTGTACCCCCATTGTATCTTGGAAGTAACTAACTTGTTTTTTATTTTATTTTACTAGGCTAACAGGCAGAAGAAACTTGCCTTGTCTCAGATGAGACTTTAGTCTTGGACTTTTGAGTTAATGCTGAAATAAGTTAAGTTTGGGTGACTGTTGAGAAGGCATGATTAGTTTTGAAAAGTGAAAAAGACATGAGATGTGGGAGGGGCCAGAGATGGAATGATATGGTTTGGTTCTGTGTCCCCACCCAAATATCATCTCAAATTGTAATCACCATAAGTCAAGGAAGGGTCCTGGTGGAAGGTGATTGTGAGTTCTCAAGAAGTCTGATGGTTTAAAAGTGCTTAGCAGTTCTCCCCTCACTCTCTCTCTCTCTTCTGCTGCCTTGTGAAGAAAATGCCTGCTTCCCCTTCACCTTTCACCATGATTGTAAGTTTCCTGAGTCCTCCCCAGAATTGTGGAACTGTGAGTCAATTAAAAATGTCTTTTGTTTATAAATTAGTCAGACTCAGGTAGCTCTTTATAGCAGTATGAAAACAAACTAATACACCCTCCTTGACTCACAAGTAGAGCTGAGAGATAGACAGTGCTTCAATAATATTGTTTAAGTCTCTGAATCTAGTCTCACATGATGCCAGCTTCACCTCAAGTCTTCTGAGGTTCCTTAGCCATAAACTCCCTTTTTACTTACTGTACCCATTTCAGTAGGTATTATGATACTTACATTTGAATATCTTTTGACAAATAGAAATACCTTCCTAACAACATCCTGAATCCAGGACATTGTGTGTCCAAGCCAATCATCAGTTTCCCTGAAATAAAACGTACACTGGCATCCTTGCCACCAGAATCCCTCCAGAGAAGCACAGGTTTCTATGCAAGGGGCAGCACTTAAACTGAACCACAAAAATTGAGTAGTTAACAAAAGTGAGGTTCAAAACTAAGAGACTAATATAAGCAATGATCACCACCAAATTTCATCTTGTATTGTTTTGTACACAAACTCTGTAAAGCTTATTTTAATCTCCATAACCATGATTGTCCACTTTAGTGAATTAGAATCTTTTCAGTTCAAAATTGTATTAATTTGCAAGACAAAATTCTAAGATATCCCTACTCCACAGATTGTACCAAGTCATTCTTTAATTCACACTCTATCCTAGTTTATTTATTAATGTAGCTTCTACTTGGTATTTACTACTGCCTAATCACTATTAGAATTGCTGTTCTGCTTTACCAGCAAAATAATTACATTTGTGCTTGTAAAGTATTGCTGTTTGTCTCTGTTGCCAATATTT